TTCTCCCATGGAGAAGCCGGTTTCAAACCACCAACCTTTCCATTAGCAGCTGATCATGTAACCACTGTGGCAACAGGGCTCCTTAAGACGATTTATCATCCATTTAATGCAGTAAGGCAAAAATGAAGAAGGAGCTGGAGCTCTTACTGTTCCCTCTCTTAGCACTTACACCATTAGATTTTAAAGGTTCACATACATGTCTTTCCCTACTAGACGGACAGTCCTTGAAAGCTGGGACCATGTCTTAATTACTTCTGTACTCTTAGCACATACTATATGACCTGGCACATAACATAAATGTTTCTTGAATCAAGCTGATTTAAAAGGAAAAATATGAAGGTTCAGAATCTTGGGCCAAAATCAGAGTTTTAAATGATAAAAAGTTTTGTATATGCACTTTCAGATTTCTCAAAAGGCTAAGAGTTGAGGAATAAATTTTATAATTCATCAAAAATTTTATAGACTTTTTTTATAGAAGAATTTCATTATAATTACAGAAGTCATACAGTAGTATTTTTTGTAGTCAGAACTTGGACAAGAGGTAGGGCCTTCCAGGTCCGGCTGGAAAAGCTCTTCCTGAGAAGAAGCCAACTCTCATTGGAGGATATTCTCCTCTGAGATACCAGCTCTTCTAGGTGGACTATAAAGGACTTACTGCAGACCAACTAATAGTCTACTTACGTATAAAGATATTTCATTTAAAACTCCCGAATTTTAAGTGAAATGTTTCCAAAATGCCAAAAAGCATCACTGCCATCGAGTTGATTTCGACTCATAGCGACACCCACTGGGTTTCCAAGGCTACTGTAAATCTTTACAGAAGTAGATTGCCCCATCTTCCATGGTCTTCCTTCCATGGAACGGCTGGTGGGTTTGAACTACCAACCTCTGGCTAGCAATCAAATGCCTCAGGCACTGCACAACCAGAGCTCCCTGTTTTCAAAGTGCACTGATCATTATTTCGGGGTGTATGTAAAAATTTGTAGCCATCAGAGATGGATTCCTTCATGGCCTAAAGGAGTAGCAAATAAGCATGTGACTTCAATTTGTGTCATCCTCCAATCATTAGTTCTTCTCTTTTTAGAGACAGATCATTTCAACTCAAATCCAACATCTGAAGAACAAGATAAAGATAATTTCCACCTACTTTCACCAATGTACAAATTAACTATTTTCTCATTATACACTGGTTTGGAACACAAATTAAATTGTAGAAAACTGAGCTGAAATCGTAACTCACATCTTTAATTTTAACTAATTTGTACCACAAATTGACCACATTTGATATTTGTCTGAAAAAAAAAACTTAAATCTTTAATGTTCTTCTAAAAAAAAATGAAATTAGCAGACTACCCATTGATCAAATTTAAAAATTTATTTACAAAACTAAATTATTTTGCTTTTATAAAACAACTTCTCAGTTCATAAAAATTAACCCAAACCCAAACCCTATCGTATATTACAATAATCTGTCTTAGAATCAACATTATAAAACTATTAAATGAATGTTGTAATGCAAAACCACAATGTAAAAACAGCAACTTAATTCTAGTGACTGGAAAGAAAGCAGATAAACACTCTTCTTCAGAAGGAAAAAATACTCATGGCAACAAAAGGTACAGCATGTATAAAGCAGGAAATTTAAATATCAGTCTAGTTCCTCATTGCCAACATGGCATTTATATCCCAGATGAGATTTCGTAATTGATCCATAATTTGCTTCAGCTGTTGATTCTTCTGTTTGAGTTTCTGTAGAAAGAAAAGAATTTATCAAAAAATGTTTTGTGAAATACAGACCATGAAGTCAGAGGATTAAAATGTCTTAAGTTAGGACTCTAAAGAGCCAGACAGAAATTAAGGCAAATATTTCCTTAAGACAGGGAGCCTTAACCCTTGCTGGCCCTGATTCTCTGAAATGAATACTGAATTCAAATTCAGCCCTCAGAGGGCTACAGCTGTCTGCCAATTTCCCTTCACCCGGCTCCCCACTACCACCAACACATTCAAGAAAAGAAGCTAAACATTTATTTGCTATAAAACTGAAGCACATAGATTTTACAAGAGATACAAAAAAAACCCTCCAAACTCACTGTCATCAAGTTGATTCCAACTTATAGTGACCCCCTTTGGG